CCCAGCGGATCCCTGCCGTAGTGGCTTGACTTTCAGCAAATGGCCGAGTCCAAGTATGCGATTCTATCCGTAATGCACCACTCACAGAGCAATCACGGTCTCGTGGGGATGAGGTATAGGATGGGAGGTGAGTGGATCAATTTGGACGCAAGCAATGACAGATTTGGTCGCCTGACTTTGTAGGTCTGTGCAGACTCAGCCATCCATAGCAGCTTCCTACTCCTGTGACATTTAGATTTGCTGTCAAGTCATGGGGTTAAAAAGTTGACAAGTGGAATACTTGAGCTCAGAGGGAAAAAAGGATGCAAAAGAGTATTGTGTGATTTCAAAAAGAAAAAAAAGAACAAACTGTCGTCTAAGTGGTGAGTACATTGACTAAGTGTGCCGGCAATGCAATAAATTAGGGATTTGGCTGCTGCGTGAAGTGTCGCAGCGCAGTTGGGCTGAATTGTTGTACAGTCAAAAATCCCATTTCAAATCGGCGGAGAGCGCCTTTTGTACTGTGCAGATTTCAGAGTAGTTTGCTAAACGGTGCCGCATTTGCACTGAAACGCGACAATTACACTGCCGAAATGGAGCAAAGCAGCAGCATCACCATCATCGCCAGTCTCCATCCCTCCTTCCTTCCGCTTCCGCCCCTCTCCCCCTTCCCCCCCCTGCACTCCCTTTTCTCCATTACCCACTTCGCTCACTCCAAATCATCGTTCCAGCGTGCAAGTGCATACGTGCGAGCGCGCTAATGGTTGTGAGTTGTACTCAGAGGGGATGGACACACGCGCGTGCCTGTCCGTGCCACGCTCATGTCGATCCACCCGATTGGCTGGCCAAGGTCAGTTGTAGAGACGGAAAGACCGGTCCGGTCGATCCTCACTTGTTCCAAATGCAATAGAAGTGGGAGAAGCAGGCGAGTAACGGGAGGAGTCGGGCATTTTATGCATTATTTATCCTCTAGTGCACATACATACATTACACGCACGCATACACACTCCCTCAGTCGCGCACTGGCTCACGCAAATACAATTATTCGGTTGGCCTCAGTTGTCATGTAATACAGCCTCCAACCGGTCCCACTGTCTCTCCCCCTATTACCCTCCATCAAACGCACAGAATTTTTCATGACTTATACTAAGAGTTTGTATAATGCTTTTCCAATGCCGAACCAACTTGCAGAAGAGCACAATTGCCTGTACTAGGAAGGACGTGTTGGAATGTAGCAGAGCCCTTGTTTCAATGCACCATGCAGCAGTCACAATCACCATCATCACCACCACCACTACCACCAACGGTGCCGGCACAGTCCCCATCTCAAGCTATTTGTAAGCTCGACCCTGGGTCCCAACAACCCGGTGACTCGGATCAAATTCAACCGGATTTATCCCACCTCACCCCAGAGGAGAGAAGGATTATTGAGGATGTTATTAATAGGCAACGACAGGAGGAACTCATCGATCGGTAGGTCTTACGTGTTCTGGTCATTCTCCGGGTCTTCCTTATAAATTGTGATTGAGGGCAGATTGCCGATTTCTCACAGTTTAATACGGAGGGAAAGTACTGAACCGCCTCCCTTCCTCTAAGAGTTTCTCAGTTTACAAGGATTTCAGTAAAGAGAGATACTACGATCCTTCTGGATCAGGCGCTTTTAAATCTCAATAATTTGTTCTGCAGCTAGGAAACAATATTTTTTGATCATTCAACTGCTATAATTCAGTAATGTCCACCAAGGGACAGCCTGACATCAAGACATAATTAGTCTACTTCATTTGATCTGTAAATGACACTTTCACTACCAGGGTCTGTTTGTGGGAGGGATGGGAGGGGAGGGGGAGGAAATTGACCACCTCAACCACTCAGGTGGCTTGTCACTGATTTTCAGTGATTTCTCAACTAATTCAACTGTTACTCAAAATGTGTAATTATTCTCACAGATCAAAAAAATCTCCAGCATCTCTTTTATTGCTCCACACTCAACTAATCTCGTGGCTACAATTATCATAAACTGATAGAGAAGCCATGTCACCCATCTGTGACCCCGGAGTGAGGTAGGAAAATCGCGGCCTCACCTATACGTGTGCCACAGATGGAGGATGGGTTTAGTCATCTTCAACCCAACTTTAAATAAGTGACGATTTATATTTCGGGTTAGTAATCCAATAGCAGCCTCCAAAATTAATCTGTAGGGAGGTGTACACAATCGAACGTGTACCTTGACCCAAATCTCCCTCCTGATTGGTTGAAGCAGGATTAAAATTTTTGAGTGGTCTTCTGTTTAGGGACATCAGTGATGGCTACGCTTAAGATCTAATCGAGAATCACCTTAAAATTCTCATTCGGTGTTGATCAAAGCAATTTTTTTTTCCCAATTCACATAAATAAAGATAAAACAAATTCATTTGAACGCGCGAATAAAATATATGCAAAATCCGATTCGTTTATTTGAAAAAGGTGAATTCAAAGGGAATTTTGCAATCCTAGTCCATTTATAAATTTTTGTTCCGCTTTTTCATTTGCAGACTAATTGTCTACCATTGAATTAAATGTGTGTATTGGAAGGAAATTTGGAGTGTCACATATATGTGACGCTTGTTGTGAATGTATTAAAACATCTTTTATCCATAGACTGTGCGAATTTCGGCATCTAATATCAGAAAAAAAGATATATTAATTTGTCACTGTATGATGAGCGAGTGGCTGATACCCTTCGTCATGATTAACCCCTCAATTTACCCAAGATCGGTCTAAACGGTAAGAAATAACAGTGAATGATGGCTAATCCCTGGACCCAGTCGTCTTTGGCCTCTTACATCACTCGAACTTAAAGTAAATCCCAAAGTGGTTTCCATATTTGCTAAAAAGTTTATTTTTTCTTCTTTGATGGGGAGGGTTTTAAACGCAGGTTACGGACGATTAGATTGCTCATGGGGCAGCATATACTGCCTTATTTAAGTGTATTTTTACTAAAAAAGAGGATGATTTATTGAGTACATTGATGACGAATGGCTACTCAGTCACCGACTTACCAGAGTAGGCGTGTCAAAAGCAATGACAGCCTAGTTCTCATTTGAGGGCGCACAAAGTCCATTTTAGTCCTTCCTTTATCTAGGTTATACTTGTCAATTTTGCCTAAGGCACGATTAAGTCATCTGGAAGGTTGCTATCCAGCTTTGTGTTTCCTCAGTGGTGGAGGTGATGTATTCTGGATGATATAGTGAAGGCGCTTCTAATTGTGTTTAGTTTAACCCGTAGCGGAGTAAAGGGGGCACACACTCAACATGGAAGTATGAGCTCGACAGGAAACGGGAATTCCTCGCTCCTTTATTAACCACATCTGATCGAATCGCTGCCTGGCATCAACCAGGTTACCTCTGAAGCCGATATTAGGTACAAGAGTGGGAGACCTCCATCCTACTGTCGTGGATGGCGGATAGGGGGAGGATGAAAAACGCCGATTTATAGTGTATGGGGATTTGAGGCAGTATAAACAAAGATGGCTACCTCCTGTGAGTTTACGATGGGAGGATCAACATTTGTGGCATCGTTTTTTACTTGCCCAAATAACGTATATGTGAGTAGATTGGCCAATTTGGTTGCCAAAACCAAAAAATAGCCGAAGTGGCTGTAGTGGTCGATCCTCCTCCTCCTCCTCCTCCTCCTCCTCCTCCTCCTCCTC